TTTATGAAGTGCACATAAAATTTTAATAAATTTCCAACATTTTGGTATAGTTTTTGTTAACAAAATATAATTGTAAATATTTAAAAATTAATTTAGAAATCTTACTGATACGATGGGACACCCGATATAAAATAAGTAAAAAAATACATCTATGATTACCATCGCATAAAATTGAACGGCAATTTAGTTTTGTATCGAAACGACTCGTTAATGAACGCCTGAGTGAACGGCATATGAAGTCTGTCGGCATAACAGGGACTCCGATCTCTTCCGACCACAGAATCGATCTCTTCGTGAATCCTCTTCTGGTGTTCGCTGTATCTGACGCACAGTAATAACAGCCATTCAATGGAGTCCTGAACAGCATTACTCCCGGCGCCGAACAGTATTCGCACCATTTCTGCCAATTTTTGGGCTATAAAAGAGTTTTAAATTCATTAATCAATGACAGTATGTATTGACTGACGAGTGAAGTGAGTGTTGGGATCCTTTCGTTGTCTCACTTCCATCTCCGCTAAGTATCCGTCGATATAATCGCGGAATTTGTTGTTAGGATTCATTGACTTTTTATGCGATGAAATCTCCGACCTATTCATTCAATATACAAGTTTTTAGTATTATTTAAATGTATATTTGACTTGACAATCAAGATATTTAAGGAACCCTTCACTTAACATGTAAGCACTGCATAGAGGGAAAATAATGTGTTTAGAAATTCACTAAAATAAATCTGAAATTTGAATTTTCTATGTATGATTAAATTAAATCCAATAACAAGACATTTTAATCAACACTTAATATGTTGTACATACTTATTGAATTAACTGCAATATCATTACCTAATAACTCCGGCGACAGTCTCGAACACCTTCCTACTATTGATAGCACCGGTACTATACATGCGTTTTGTTAACCATAGGGGAGCCGCTGATAAGAAGGCTGTAGTTATTATGGACTTCTTGCTAATGGTTTCCAACATCAGGTCAAAAGCCACGCGTTTGGGGTCGTTGTAGTCGAACCGGTGACCAAACACCAGGTGACAGATATTGTTGGATATACTGGGCGTCAGGCATTTGTGGATATTAAAGCGCCGGCCATTAGCCTCATCGACATGTTTGATAAGAATACGGATCTCATCGGTGATCCTGTTCTCCATAGAGCCCTTTCCGAAGCCTAAGTCTCGGAGCACTTGCAATGAAAATCTGCGAGTGTCCTGCCAGTTGTGCGGACTACTTGCACTCGAGTCTATAGTATCAAGGTGAAATTTATTAGACTCTCTCTCTCTCTCTCTCTCTCTCATTTATTTATTATACAAGTATTATACAAATATAATATTATTTATTACTTGTATTTCCGACAGTAAATAACACGGTCTTGGGTCGACCTAATAAGGCGTCGTTATGTAAGCCCTCCTTAATAGCCTCCCAGTCGTTAAGGACGACAATATTTTTGAATCCCATTTGTATACTACATGTATTCAATATTTTATTAATTGATTTTGATTACACATTGTGAGATTTCATATTAAAGTGTTTATTAAAACATTGATGTAATACAAAACATACGTGAATACAGAGCCGTATTTTTCACCCAATTTTGTGACCACTTTATGTAAATCTTTGCCGAAGAATGGTTGGTATCCCATGAGTGGTATGCCTAGAGGTCCGGGTGGCAGAAGTTGTCTAACTTTGTACTCATTGTATAGATATGTAATGAAAGCGACAATTAATGTGATCAACAAAATGAATACTAAATTCAGGAGTAAATCATAAATTGATAGTATATTGGAAACCATTTTATTATAGAGAAATAAACACAGAATAATCTATAAATAATAATTTTTAAAAATTTTATAAAATAATATCCTGCTACTCAGTTATATGCGGAATTTTAATGTTTGCGATCATGAATGAGACAGCAAACTTTTTGTTGCAAATTGGCTTGACTTTTGTATGGCTATGTCACTATTATTATAAATATTTTGCAATTTATCATGATTGTATGTAAAAGAAGTTTGAAATTTTGTTATATTAATAATATTTACAAGTTTAATTAATTTTAATTTATATAAAATTATTAATATGTTAGTTTCCTATTTGAATAAGTGAGAATAGCAACTTTAAAACCACTTTTGCAAAATTCTATATAAATATATATATTAAATGAGTGACACATAAATAAATATAATTACGTTTAATGAATAACACGGATATATTGGTCGACAATTATGACAACTCAACTCCAAATGAAAACCTCGTGACATCGAAAACAATTGTATTGATGGTTGTGATCATAATTATTGGTATTTTGGTGTTCACTCTAATAGCGGTCCTATTATTCATGTATTGCAAGCATAATAGACTGAAACGGATGAACCGAGAGATGGTTTCCGATGTTTACGACGACAACCGTTGGATGACTACGAAGACTACAGAGAAAAGGCTGACGAACACCAATACGAAGATACTTACGATATGATTGACGATAAGAATAGTGTGGACTCGGATGGCAATCAAAGATATCTGGAAATGACCATTAGATACACTCATATGGAAGTATCCAATGATAATAGTAGTTCAGTCACATCTAGTGATTATGTAACTATAGTTCCATAAAGTATAAATAGGCTCATGGCCAGTTGATGATGCAAATGCTGATGAATTGGTGGCCAACACAAAGTATTTAAAAGTAACCAAGATCGTAGTTACACCCAAATATTTTATAGTTACACTGTAGATACGATATAATTTATAACTAACAAAAATTCAAACCTAAAAATATATGGCACAGTAGTATACTAGTATTATTGCTTTCTATGTTGAATCTAGATTAAATAGTATCCCCCATTAGATTAAATATTATTTTTGAATAAATTCTATTTCATAATCTATTCACAAATATTTTTATTGTCAGTCATTCAAATTATTAAAGTAATTAAAATATTTGTTACAATATTTATCAAATAATTAATAATCACTTGCGATCAATAAGTTTGAAAAATGGTAACTTCTCTTGTTTTCCCTCACATTTACAATTATTGCCAACTTTATCAATTTGCATATATTTATCCAGGCCAAACGAGCCCACAAACGAGCCAGTTGTGTTAAACTTAATTTTCTTAGTGCCCTCCCATGGCTCTTGGTCAAAAAACAGTCTTGCTAACTTCTTACTCAGTTCCTTGTCTACTTCCACCCCTGATTTACTCGTTATCTCAATCTGACATAAATTATAACATAATAAAATAATTTTATTAATTTAAAAATACTTCAAATTGAATTTCACCTGGATAACCGCATAATAGGGTAGGGCCAAGTTTTCAATCCACTTGACGTACGACAGGGCTTTAATGCAAGTGTCTGGCGGTATATTCACAGTCTCTGTCGGATATCTTATACTCCTTTGTGGCGGACAGTTGTGTGCCCCGAGTCTCACTGGACTCCTGTCCCAACTCCCACTCCAGTTCAGCCGTAGTGGACACCGAGGCCTCTACTATACCCATGAGATCGCCGCTGACACCCGCTGTTACGCTAAACCGTCCGCAGAACCTACTCGCAAACGTATGCGACTCCTCCATAGTTATACTATA